ATGTAACCTTTATTCATTTTAAAGTTTTGTTGTGTAATAACTATATAGGAAACATTGTGATATTACAATTGAAAAAAAAAATACTATTATTTTATTGATTTCCAAAAACATACTATCAATTAAATAAGATTTGATATTTAAAATGGGTAATTAGCTAAAATAATAAACTTTTAATACACTGTTTTAAAATAACAAATTATTACAAACATCTTAGTAAACAACAAAAGAAAATATATATTCTCATTTATCAGTAATTCATGATTACACCAAGACTAATTAATCTATATATTAATTGTGCAAGTTAGGTGTTGCCACATCCTTTACTAACATCCATGTTAATTTGTCCAATGTCTAAACTCATGACTCATCTGTATAATCTTCATCACAATTAAATTAAAAAGAATATGATAGTTGTTAATTCATCACATGTCTAAACTCATAAATACAATCTTCATCACAATAAAATAAAAAAGAATATTATGATAAAGAATTGGATATGATACATCTACAATTCAATTTTCATGCATGAAATATATTCACAAAATAAAAAAAAATAAAGTAATTAATAAATATAATATACAAACAACTTGCTAAAGTGCTTACCTGAAATAGTTGCAAAATATTGCATTTTTTTAAAAAATAAAACTACCAATAAAATATACTTTATTAAATTTATATACTACTTTTTCAATATATGCAATTGCATGTATATTAATAAGAACTAAATATGAAACTTTTAATTTTCATTTACATGATTGTATAGTAAATTCTGTATGGTACTACACAACAAAGGAATAATCCTTATTCACAGAGATTGAACAATGTTATTGATACATCAACAAACTAAGCCTAAAATTATTCAAGAAAAAAATACAGTATTAATATATATATATATATATATATATATGAATCTTAAAAATATAATGGTAGTGAATATAAACATGAAAAAAAAATTAATACACATATATTTACGATCCGCACTCTTTTGAGTTGTCCCCACAATTTAAATTAGGCATGTCTAATTATGCCTAATATATTGAAGTCCTATAATACACGAAAATAGGAATAGTGGAATACTATTAGGATGTAAATGGAGATGAATATAAAATTACTATAATTTGATTTGATTTGAGTCTGATTATGCCTAATATATTAAGTCCTATAATACACAGAAATAGGAATATATCTAATATAAATGGAGATGAATATAAAATTACTATAATTTGATTTGAATATAATGGCATATAATAATATCTATATATAAATAATGGATGATATTACATAAATGCCTCTAAGTTTTGAGGGAAAATTTATAGATTAGGATTATTGTTATGCGTGTACATACATATATTTGATTTGGACTTGTGTACCAAGGCTCAATATAATAAAATGGGCTACGAAGATCTCATGTCAAAATTGTAGCTTAAAGAATATAATATAAATTAGGGAAAATAATTTATTTATTTAAGGTAGAAAATACTAATTTATATTTATAGGTAGAAAATACTAATTTAAAAGGAAAGAATAATAATTTATTTATTTATTTAAGTTAATAACATTATTATTATTATATTATATTATACTACGGATATATATATATATATATATATATATATATATATATATATATATATATATATATATATTATAAAAAAAAATGCTGTAAAATGAACTATGCTTGTTAAAAAAAATATAGAAACTTGAATGGCATGTACAAATCTCGAAATTAACATACTAACTCTAAGTTTTAGAAAATCTTACAAAATCATCAAAATTACCGTCTTTATCATCCTCGATCGCATCTCTACAATCTTCCATAAAACCTAAACCAATATGCAAAACATATTGAAGTACGTGAGAATATAGTTAGAAAAATGTAAAAATTTCATACAAAAAGAAAGCAGAGAGATGAGTCTGAGATTCTTTGATTGAAGAAGCCATTGTATTTATAGGTAGAAAATACTAATTCAAAAGGAAAGTATAATAATTTATTTATTTAAGGTAATAAAATTATTATTATTATTATTATTATTATTATTATTATTATTATTTATTTATTTAATTTAATTTCCATTTGACATTTACTTACCAAATAAGTTTTACTACAAAAGTTTTGGGGGGAAAATTTGTTAGGAGGATTTTACTTTTATATATATAATAATAATAATAATAATAATAATAATAATAATAATAATAATAATAATAATAATATATAGATATAGATATAGATATAGATAGATATAGATTAGTCTTCGACTATAGTGATTTTACTCAAATTAGTTTTCGACTATAATGGTTAATACACAATTTAGTCATCGATTGTAGTAGTTTTTTTTTTTTTTTTTTTTTCAATTTAGTCCTTGATTCTAACAGCAATTACGTAAAATCATCAAAATTGATGACTCAATTAAGAATAAAAAACACATTTAAAACTAAATAAAAAAAATCAATATAGTTGATACTTAAATTGAGTATTAATGCATAAAAAAATTGATAATCATATGTGCTGCCTTCTGTTGATGATTTGTTAGAAATTGTGGTAAGCCAGGAATGATAAAGCATGGAATGGAAAACTGGTGACTCTTGTGTGCTTAGTTGAAGCCACCAAACGACATTGGGCTGATTGGAAGATAGTGGTGGGGAGTACCCAATAGTTATGCCGTGGAACCGCGTTCACCATGCGTATGGTGAACACATGATAGATTCATAATTTTTAAGTTGTAGATTCATAATTTCTATACAGTATATTCATAATATTTATATTGTACATTCATAATTTTTAGACTGTAGATTCATAATTTCTATACTATAGATTCATAATATCTGTACTACGAAGACGAAATGATGCGATTGCGAAGAGAGAAACATCGTTAACAAATGAAAAAACAAAATTATGAATCTACCCATGTGTTCATCATGCGCATGGTGAACACGTTTCCACAACATAATTTGCGGGTACTTACCGATGGCAATCCAGTGTCCAGAAACAAACCGGAACAAAAGTGGGAAAAACCTTTTCTTGATTTCCTCAAGTTGAACACTTACGCAACGGTGGACTCCCATAGGAATCGCATGGGCTATGGATGGGTGCTCAAGGACGACATAGGCCGGTTCGTTGCTGCTGCTTGTATTCCTGGAAGGGGTCTACTCACCCCAAAAGAAGCCGAAGCTATGGCTATTAGGGAGGTCCTTACATGGATTAAGAGACAGGGCGTCGTAACCAGAGTTCAAGTGGAATCGGACGCTCTCCAGATCATTCAAAGTTTAATGCACAGTGTCGATGACTCATCTTTTGGTCTTGTAATTTTCGATATCAAAGATATGCTACGTTCACTCAATCATGTAGATATCTCTCATGTTACTTGTACTGCAAATAGAGTTGCCCATAGTATTGCTATGTAAGCCTGTTCTATGTCTGTACACCACGAGTGGAATACTACCCCTCCTTCCTTTATTATCAACGATATGTACTTTGATTTGAATTAATGAAGTTTGTTTATCTCTAAAAAAAAAGAAGCAAATTATGTTGTGGAACCGCAGGTGGACAGAGTTCCAAAACTGTCATAATTGTGAATATAGAGTTCAAAAATTATGAATATAGAGTTCAAAAATTATGAACATAGAGTTCTATAATTATGAACATAGAATTTTGTAATTGTGAATAGAAAGTTCAATAATTGTGAATATAAATATAAAAATTATGAACATAGAGTTTTATAATTATGAACATAGAGTTCTGTAATTGTGAATATAGAATTCAATAATTGTGAATATTAAGTTCAAAATTTATGAACATGCAGTTTTATAATTATGAAGATAGAGTTCAATAATTATAAACATAAAATCGTGTCCATCTTTCAAGGGGACACGGTTCCACGACATAAAATCGTGTTCATTATAAACATAACAAGAAATGGTCTACCATGTGGAAGCTCAATATTCCTAAGAAAGTCAAAGTGTTTGTTTGGCAACTCTGTACAGGAAGCCTCCCAACAATTGATCGTCTACGCTCCAGGATGGTTGATTGTCAAGATATATGTTCTCTGTGTCAATCATCGAATGAGACCGACATGCATCTATTTATCAATTGCAGGTTTGCTAAGGATTGTTGGGATCTTAGTGGCCTTCCGGTCATCACCATGGCCTTCCCTTCTCTTGAGCTTTGGGTCGACTTCCTGGTTACAACGCTTAACGAAGATCAATGTTGTTTCCTGTTCTTGCTTTGTTGGAAAATTTGGCTTGCAAGAAATGATAAAATATGGAATAACAAGAACACCACTTGCAGAAGCCTAGTAAAAGATACGAAAGCTTTCATGGCAGACTGGAATTCAGCGATTGAACATGCCTCATGCATTCCCAGTACAAGATTACCAGTGATCCACAAGTGGGAGAAACCTCTGCCGGGCCATCTGAAATTGAACACTGACGCTGCTGTTGATAATGTCCATAACCGAGCGGGGTTCGGTTGGGTGTTGAGAGATGATAATGGGCAATTCAGGGCGGCTTCCAGTATACCGGGATTGGGGGCATCTTCACCTATGGAGGCATAGGCTATGACCATCAGGGAAGCTTTGAGCTGGATCAAGAATATGGACATACACAATGTGCAGATTGAAAGTGATGCACTGCAGGTGGTACAAAGCCTCAACCACAACCAAGAAGTGTCTTCATGCGACTTAGTGCTTCTTGATGTTAAAGATATGCTTTGTTCTCTTACCGACGTTGCTATCTCTTATGTTAGCCGTACTGCGAACAGCGTTGCCCACAACCTTGCTAGGGAAGCTTGTTCTATGTCTGTACGTCAGGAGTGGGTGACACCCCTCCGTCCTTAATGAACTCTATTCTGATTTACATTAATGAAGTTATGTTTGGTTCAGAAAAAAAACAATTGGTCCAAAAGGAGAATGAAGATTGCAAATAGTGTTTAGGCCCAAATATTTAGTAGCCCGACTTGACCCCAAAACCCTAGACAGTCTTTCATATTTATAATTCTAATTCTACAATTTTCACTCTCTACGCACTCTAAACCCCTCAACTCTGCAGCGCCGGTGAGCCAAAACCTTACCGAAAGTCGCTAGCATGGCTGAAAGAGGAGGATTTGGACGCGGCTTTGGAGGGCGGGGTCGTGGCGGAGACCGCGGAGGCAGAGGCCGCGGTGGACGCCGTGGCCGCCGTGACACCGAGGAGGAGAAATGGGTGCCGGTAACAAAGCTTGGCCGGCTCGTTAAGGAAGGGAAGATCCGATCTCTAGAGCAAATTTACCTCCATTCGCTTCCCGTGAAGGAGTACCAGATTATCGATACCCTAATTGGCCCGGCTTTGAAGGACGAGGTCATGAAAATCATGCCGGTCCAGAAACAGACCCGGGCCGGGCAGAGGACCCGGTTCAAGGCGTTCGTCGTCGTCGGAGATGGCAACGGCCACGTCGGACTCGGTGTCAAGTGCTCCAAGGAAGTCGCCACTGCGATTCGTGGCGCCATCATATTGGCTAAGCTCTCCGTGATTCCAGTGAGGAGAGGCTACTGGGGTAACAAGATCGGGAAGCCGCATACCGTGCCCTGCAAGGTCACCGGAAAGTGTGGATCAGTCACCGTCCGGATGGTTCCGGCTCCCCGAGGTGCCGGAATTGTGGCAGCTAGAGTTCCAAAGAAGGTGCTCCAATTTGCCGGTATTGAGGATGTCTTCACCTCTTCCCGTGGCTCCACAAAGACACTCGGAAACTTCGTTAAGGTAATATTTTTATACATTCTTGAGCTTTAACGTGATTATTCCACTGAACAAAAACTTTTGTTTAGTAAGAAATTTAGGAGATTGATTATATTTGAGATATACCATGTTTCTTTTGTATTTCCACTAGGAACTTAGAAACTATGAATTTATGTAGAATGTAGTGGCACACATTGGTATAGGCTGTTCTACATTTCTATTATGACCATATTTCTGGCTTGTTTTGCCTTATAGATAGATTGTTGATTTGTAAGTGGTGCATTGTGAGGTTTATAGGTTTATATTATATTGGCCCCTCTGTTGAGGGGATGTGATTCCTAGATTTGGTTGAAACATAGTAGTTATCTAGTTCATTCTCTAAATTGATTATAAATGTATTTCTGGCTTGTTTTGCCTTAAGGATGGATTGTTGATTTGTAAGTGGTGCATTGTGAGGTTTATAGGTTTATATTGGCCCCTCTGTTGAGGGGATGTGATTCCTAGATTTGGTTGATACATAGTACTATAGTAGTATGCTAGTTCATTCTCTAAATTGATTATGATATTTCTGGCTTGTTATGCCCTAAGGATAGATTGTTGATTTGTAAGTGGTGCATTGTGAGGTTTATAGGTTTATATTGGCCCCACTGTTGAGGGGATGTGATTCCTGGATTTGGTTGAAACATAGTAGTATGCTAGTTTATTCTCTAAATTGATTATGTAGTTTGGTGTTCTTCGCATGAAAATGCAGTAGTGAGAGGCTGTACCATCAACTGAGTTGTCCATTTTCAGTATATTTGTCAGCTATTACTCTCCCCGTCCCACTCACTTTATGTGTCTGGTTCGGTTAACTAAAGTTATTTTTAATTCAATTTTTCATAATGTTAAGTTTAGTATTAGTATATAAAGTTTATATATTTAGAAACTACAATAAAAGTATTATTAAACACAAAAAAAATTGAAAAAATACTAATGAAAATAAGCGAAGAAGAAAGTGCTTATGTGACTAATGAATAGTAAAATGACATAAACAATAGGACATAGTGTGTAGTGGAGTACGTGTTATTGTGGATTAAATGCTGTTCTCCAGTTTTCCATTAGTGCCTCTCTTTTTTCACACAAAATCTCCCTTTGGAATAGTGTTGGGGATAGTATAGTATGGCTGCTGTACTTGTTGGGAGTCCTACAATAGCAATGCTTACCTATTGTTTTTGCAGGCTACATTTGACTGTCTTATGAGGACGTATGGTTTCCTTACTCCAGATTTCTGGAAGGAGACTAAATTCTCAAGATCTCCATTTGAAGAGTTCACGGATATCCTAGCCAAGCCAACCACCAAGTATGTCCAAATCGAAGAGGTTACTGATAAGGTTGAAGCATAGACGGGTTGATTAGATTTTGTTAATTCAAGATTTTGAATGCATTATTAATGTTTTAGAGATAGATAAGATACAAACCAGTTTTGTTCTGTTTTTTGGACACAAGTTTATCTCCACATGTTCACTAGAGCTTCTCCCATTTTTAGTGAATCTTTATACATCACTTATTCTTAAATGGCCTAGCATTTGTCCCACTGTTTCATGGAATATTTATGTTGCTTTTCAGTTTTTTTTTTTTGTGTGTGTGTGTGTGTGTGTGATAGATCAGTACTTGCTGTGTTGTTATTGGAGTTGGCAGAAGAAATCTAAAAGAATTGGAGTTGAGAAATGTAAAGAGATAATACTAATGTTTGGTTCAAAGCCAATAAATTACATCTCAACCATTTTCCACTTTGTTATTGGTTACTAGTTGGTTGAGTACATGATTGGAGAAATATTGAAAAGGATAGTCGAGTAGGAAAAAATAAAATGATTTGGCCAAGTTGAGTGCCAACTTGATTAAGTTGGGTGCCAACTTGATTAAGTTGGGTGCTTGACTAGGCCGAGTTAGGTGCTTGACTTGACTAAATCAGCACTTAAGAAGCCTAGTTGTGCCTAGTTGGCTGGTTAGTTGATTTGCTGGGGAGCTGTATTGGATTTAAGGTCCAATTTACTTTCCTCCCTTAGAATACATGGTTGGGCGGTTGGCCTAACAATCCAATGGGTCAATGGAGAATACCCATTGGAAACTATTAATAATAAAGTGTTTATTTACATAAAATTTTTATTTAAGATATATACTTAAGGAATAAGGTTCAAATTGGCCATTGAACGTAATCTGAAAATGCAATTAGGCCACTAAACGAAAAATAAGTGTAATTAGGTCACTGAATACTTCAAGTGTATGTAATTTCACCTAATAGCAGGTTATCATCAATTTTAGTAGGTTACTTGCTTACATGGCAGATAAGTTGGCATTTTAAATAATTTTTAAATACTTTTTAATAAATGTTAATAATAAAATTTTTAGAAAATATAATTTAAAAAAAACGACGGGTTTATTTTTTTATTAATTTTTTTCTAAATCTATTATTAAAATTTATTAAAAATTATTTAAAATGCCACCTCAGCTGCCACATAAGCAGGTAACTTGTTAAAATTGATGGTAATTAACCTGCTATTCGGTAGAATTGCATATATTTGGAGTGTTCAGTAACCTAATTGTACGTTTTTGGAGTGTTCAGTGGCCTAATTACACTTTTTTTCGTTCAGTGACCTAATTGCATTTTCAGATTACGTTCACTGGTCAATTTAAACTTTATTCCTATAGTTCAAATAAGTTTATACATTACTTTTTTTGAATAGTGACTGTTGTTTCTCTTATTACCAATAAATAAATAAATAAGCTAAGCTCATTACCAATAAATAAATAAATAAATAAACTAAGCAACACGTGAACCTCATCGGTGTCGTTTTGGTATTATTTTATGTGCATGCATGTCAAATAATGAGGGTGTTTGGTAAATAACTGTTAGCTAATAGCTGATAGCTGTTTGGGTTAGTAAGTTTGAGTAGTTGTGATAGTATTAGCGGATGGTAGAATTGGGTTAGTACGTTTGAGTAGTTGTGATAGTATTAGCTGATGGTAGAAAGATGTTTGATAAATTAGTTGTTAGCTGATCACATATAGAATGACTTTATAAAAAAGCTGATCGAAAAAGCTGTTTTGAATAGTTTTTTTTTTTTTTTTTTAATTTTAGTGTTTTTGAGCAATAAGATGTTACAAAAACTTAATTTATCAAACATTCATATTGATTGTTTAATCAAGTCAAATAACTAATAATAGTCAAACAAACTAAAATTAACTAATAGGATAACTATTTTACCAAACCAGACCAATATCTCTAAGATTATGTATTTCATTAATTATTGACAATTAATAATTAATTGTTGAAAATTAAAAAGAAAAAACAGTGTTAAAGAGAAATAAAAAGGAGGTTGCTTTGTCGCACATGACACCACATTCTTTGAACTTTGGTGCCAAAATTGTATTATATTAATTGAGAGAATCAATATTCATTAATAGTCTAACACTCTACATTTCTTCTCTGGCTATCTTTATCCCTGCAAATATCTCACTTTTAAAAATAAATCCCATTTCCATATCAATAATTTGTAATTCATTTACTATTCACACTACATTCCTGTAATTCTAATTAACTTTTAAAAGTGGGTCCTAATATATTAAAATAACATTATTAACTTATAGTAATTATATTTAAACATTAAAAAGTAAAATAAACAAAATAAAAAAAGAAAAGAAAAGTACAAAGGATTTGCATTTGCAAATCCTGTTCATCAACAACAAAATAAATAAATAAATAAATAAATGATGTGGCATTCCAATATGGGATAATCCCAGCCTAAGGCACCAATACTAATCAAACTCAAAACTTAATTAAATCCTTTAATAATTACAATTCTAATCTCGAACTTAGAGTAATACCTGGCCTCTGAATATAAGATTAGTGACCTTTTCTGTTTAAAAATGAAACAAAAATAAAATAAAATAAAATAAAATTAAAATGTGGCATATATTCTTTAAAATTCAATTTTACTATATAAAGTTATAGATTATGCTATATTATTTATTTCTTTATTTAAAATTTAAAATTATAAATAAAATAAATATCATTTATAAATTTTTCTTTTTAATATACACAGACATACATGTATAATAGGTATTAAATCAATTATTAAATCTATAATTTATTTCGTATTATTATAATTTGATTTGATGTTATTGTATTTAGAAAAAAAATGTGAATACCTTTTGAGAAAAACAATTTCAATAGGTAAATGTTATGTGGGAATACTTGTCATTATTTGAAATTAAATTCATCCGTTATGGAATTAATTCTGTATTAATTAGATCAACTCTATGTATTTTATGTTAATTTAAATATGATAATACAGACCAACTAAAGAAACATGAAATCAAAATTTCTCTCTCTAGAATTCTCTCTAGGGTTTTGGCGTTTTTCCTAGGGTTCCTAGGGTTTCTGGATTTCCCGGACGCTTTTCGGTGCTTTCTTCGACAGCTACATCGGACGACGATGTCGCAAGTACTAGCAGTGGAAAACCGATGGCGTCGACGCATTCTGGAGATCACGATATTGAACCGGCGTTATTGCATGAGAAGGCGGACGAGGTAGTAACTCGCCTTATGCAGCGCTGGGCGGACCTGGCGTTTGAGGAGGAGGAAGACGCCGGCTTCGAGCCGGTGGGAGACGACGTCGGAGTGGTGGCGGAGGAGGAAGAGAAGCCGTGGGTCTGTGTGGGGCATTTCTTGATGTCCAAGGTAATCAAACTTGAATACATGCGGTAGGTCATGACTTCGGTATGTCAGCCAGTATGGGGGATGCAAGCTACGGAGATCTGGCCAGACGTGTTCATGTTTATCTTCTTCGATGAAACTGATATGCAGAGGGTACTAGATGAAGGGCCGTGGTCGTTTGATAATAACACTCTGGTTTGCCGGCAGGTTAAGGCGAGGGTTCGACCATGGGAGGTTGAGCTTAACTCCGTGGATATGTGGGTACAAATGTATGATCTTCCGTTGGGCTATACATCGGATGTGGTTCTTGAGCAGGCAACCAACTTTATTAGTTTATTTGTTAAGGTGGATGATCGTTTTGCTGGGGCACCATGGAAAACGTTTCACCGAGTCCGGGTTTCGATCCCGGTCGACAAGCCCCTAAAAAGACGGATGAGACTAATCAAAAGGGACAAGACAAGCTGCTGGGTAAATTTTTGGTACGAGCGTCTTCATACCTTCTGCTTCTATTGTGGTATGTTGGGGCATTCGTATAAATTTTGTAAGCTGGCAAGACGGTCGGGGTTATCCCCGGACCAGTACCCGTATACGGCAGAGTTGAAGGCAGGAGGGGGAAGCCGAGGTCCGCAGCAGGTTGGCGAACCGTGGCTTGTTCCGTTGGAGGGGAGAGGGAGGGATATTGGGGGTGTGAAGGGGAATGTGGTAGTGGCGGGTTCGGGTGAAGGGGGGGCGGGGTGGCTGGAAGGAGGGCGGGAAGGTGAGGGGTCGGGGGTGATGGCAGTTTCAAAGAGGAGCAGGGGGCGGATGGTGATGTGATAATGTCAGAGGTGCCGAAAAACGGGTTTGCGGCGGGTCCTGTGGTTCAGGCCGGCCCTTCATCCTGAGTATGATAAGCTGGAACTATCTTGGCTTGGGCAATCCACGGACAGTTCGAGAAATAGTAGACCTTGTGTCCCGAAAGAAGCCCGAATTCGTCTACTTAATGGAAACAAAAGTAGGACGAATACATGCGGAGAGGTTGCGAGTAAAAATTGGTTTTGAAGGCTTGTTCTATGTGGACAGTGTAGGTGTGGGGGGTGGCTTGGCACTATTGTGGAGAAAGAATAATACTGCTAGGCTGTTGAGCTACTCAAAGAATCATGTGGATATTGAGGTAGCTATAAGGGAGGAAGTATGGCGTATGACGTGTTTTTATGGGTTCCCCCCAGAGGAATAGGCGAAGGGAGGCCTGGCAATTGTTGAGTGGTTTGAAGGATAGGTTTGCGCTGCCATGGGTAGTAGTGGGGGAATTTCAATGATATCTTATATCAGCAGGAGAAGAGAGGGGGAAATCCACATCCGGATGGTCTTTTGCGAGGTTTTGGGGAAACATTGGATAATTGTGGCCTAATCCAATTACCGATAAGAGGACATCAGTTTACATGGGAGAAAGGGGAAGGTACAGATGGATGGATAGATGAGAGATTGGATAAGGTGCTAGTAACGGCACCTTGGACTGATATGCATGGGGAGGCTTGGGTTGAGAATATCCAAACTCGCAACTCGGATCACTCGGCTCTCTTTCTGAACACTAATGTAACGGTGCGCGGACAAGGGGGACCGAGGGGTTTTCGTTTTGAGATAGCCTGGGCTCATGATGATGGTTGCAGGGAGGTGGTTGAGACTGTCTGGCAGGATGGAAGGGACAGGGGTTTGCTGAATTGTCAGCAATATTGTGGTGGTAGGCTTATGCGGTTGGGGGGGGGGGGGGGGGGGGGCACTGGACTAAATTTGGTGACCGCATAAGGAGGTTGAGGCGCGAGCAGGATGCACTGCGACACCGGAGAGATTCGGCTGCTCTGGCTGAGTTTTGATGGCTCGAAGTCATGCTGGCTCAGGTAGAAGTCCAGGAGGATGTGTTTTGGAGGCAACGGGCTAAGCAGCACTGGCTCCGTGGTGTTGACGCAAACACAAAGTTTTATCACATGTATGCCTCTGCTCTTAAACGTAAGAATTATATTTCTAGATTAAAGAATGATGCTGGTGATTAGGTGGAAGGGGAAAATATGAAGAGGGTTATTTTGGATTACTATGCTGCTATTTTTACCTCTTCTGATTCTGTGTGTGAGGATCCCATGTTTGATGAATTTACTCCCCGTGTGACTCATGATCAAAATATTGCTTTATTACGTCCCTATGAAATCTGATGAGGTTAAGAGTGCTTTATTTGTAATGTTCCTTGATAAGGCACCGGGGCTTGATGGTTTGAACCCGGGTTTCTATCAGCAATTTTGGGATATAGTTGGAGGGGATGTGTCTGCTTTATCATAGATTGTTTGAATACTGGCACCTTCCCTGAGGGTTTGAACGATACTAATGTGATTTTAATCCCAAAAAAGAATATGCCTGAGACAGTAGCTGATATGAGGCCAATTGCTTTAAGTAATGTGTTGTATAGAATTATGGCAAAGGTAATAGCTAACAGGATGAAACCGCTCATGGTGGACATAATCTCTGAATCCCAGAGTGCTTTTATCCCTGGAAGGCTGATTACTGATAATATTCTTATAGCTGCGGAGGTGGGACATTACTTGAATAGGAAGTAGTGTGGCCTAACAGGGCGGGGGGCTTTAAAGTTAGACAAGGCTAAGGCCTATGATCGGATGGAATGGCGATTCCTGCGGAGAATGTTGGAAGTTATGGGGTTTGATGAACGATGGATTAATGTAATCATGCATTGTGTTACTACAGTTCAGTATAGTATTTTGGTAAACGGTGTTAACAGTGGCATGTTGGTATTGTCCCGCGGTCTCAGACAGGGAGATCCGCTTTTCCCATATTTATTCATTATTTGTGCAGAAGGATTGTCTATGTTATTGCAGAGAGCTCAGATGGCTGGCTCTATACATGGGTGTAGGGTGGCGCGTGGTGCCCCCCAGTATCACATTTATTTTTTGCAGATGATAGCCTGTTGTTTTTTAAAGCAAATAATCAAGAGGCAAGTGTGATAAAGGAGTGCCTGCAACGTTATGAGGAGTTGTCTGGGCAAAAGGTAAACTATCATAAATCCAATATCTGTTTCAGTAAAAACACCAGGGATGAGGACATGGATGTGGTAGCAACGTGTTTGCAGGTGGACCAGGCGCCCAACTTTGGGAAATACCTAGGGCTACCCTCTTTTATTGGAAGGGACAAGAGAGTGGTGTTCTCCTATATTGAGGATAAAATTAAACAAAGGATTGGATCGTGGAATAAGAAATTACTATCATAGGCAGGCAAGGAAATCCTGTTGAAAAGTGTGGCGCAATCAATGCCAACCTTTTCAATGAGTGTTTTCTTATTACCTGATACAGTTTGTTTGTCAATTCAGAGGACTATGAACATATATTGGTGGGGGAGTGGAGGAGAAAAGGGAATTCACTGGAAAGCCTGGGATAAGTTATGTATCCCTAAGAAGTTTGGTGGTTTGGGATTTAAGGATCTCAGAAGCTTTAATTTGGCAATGTTGGGGAAGCAGGCATGACGTTTTCTTACAAACCCCACCTCCTTGGTTGCGAAAGTTTATAAGGCGCGATATTATCCTGCTACCTCTTTTATTGATGCCAAGGTGGGCAGTAGCCCAAGTTATGCTTGGAGGAGTATTATGGCTGCTCATGATATGGTTGTTGCAGGGGTACGTAGACGGATTGGGAATGGTCAAACAACATTGATCTGGGGATACCCGTGGTTACCAGATGATCCTAGTCCTCTCGTTCAAATAGATATGCCTGAGGAACTTAGACATGCCAGAGTAGCATGTTTAATTGATGATCAGACTAATATGTGGGATCCCCATATCTTATCAGATTTATTTATTTCTGAGGATGTCAATCGTATACACAGGATCCCTGTAAGCCCTGGTTATGATGACTCATGGTATTGGTTTGGGGACCCTAATGGAATTTAACAGTAAAAAATGCCTACAGAAGTATTATGGGTAATTATGAGCATACGCCAGGGGAGTTTGATAGATGCACTAATATATGGAAAATGAAGGTGCCCCCAAAATGGAAGACCTTCATGTGGAGAGCAGTTTGTGATATCCTCCCTACCACTGCTAATTTAATTATAAAGAGAGTCGATATTGATCCTACATGTCAGAAGTGTGGTTTAATGCATGAGGATGTTATGCATGCACTAGTTGCTTGTGATTATTCTAAACTTGTTTGGAATATTACAGGCCTACCTATCACAAATATTATTACCGATTCTTTCCCTGCCTGGCTAATAGCTGCGCTTGCAATTTTGACAGAAGAACAGATTGGTATCTTGGTGGCGATTCTATATCACTTATGGCAGAGTCGCAACTCAGCCGTGTGGGAAAAATCATTACCTCATCCCGCCAGTTTATGGAGGAGAGCATCCGCGGCAATGAGCTCCTTCGGACTCGCCAACCATCGTCCGTTGCTGCCTGCACCGCACAAACCAGAACATGGTGTACACGCCAGGCCACGGTGCTACGTAGACGCGGGTTACCGGCACGCTACGGGGGAGGCCTCCTTTGGTGTGGTGCTACTCTCGCTGAATGGAACATTCATGGCGGCGTGGAATGGAAGGCTACCAACTTGCTTTTCACCATTTATGGCAGAAGCCTTAGCTTGCAAGGAGGCTCTATCCTGGCTGCTCGAGAGGAATATAGTTGATGTGGATCTACTCACGGATTGCTTGCAACTTCAGAATGTCGTGCGCCAGGAGCCAACGACTATTATGTCTTATGCTGGGGTCACAGTCGACTACTGTAGGTCGTTGATGGCTTTGTTTACTTATAGTTCGTTAAGTTATGTTTTTAGGCAGGTTAATTCACACGCACATGTTTTAGCTTCGTTAGCTTTTACTCAGGACCAGGTTATGATGTGGGGTTTAATCCCACCTGACTCTATTACAGCTTTGCTTCATTAATACAATCATTTATTGGTTGGCTTTCAAAAAAAAATTACGATAATACACAATTGAAACTTTTAAATTATATTAACTAGATAGTTCATAAAAATGAAATTTTCTTTTAAAATATTAACTAGATAGTTCAAATTGGTCATTTGACTTTTAATTGCACCCAAAATAGTCCTTTGACTATAGTGAAAATCCTAAATTACCAGTTTTACCCCTCATTTTAACACCCACTTAATACCAAAACTAACGGAGGACCATTTTGGCTTAAAATTCAATAGTCGAAGGACCACTTTGGGTGCAATTAAAAGTCAATGAACCAATTTGAGAAAAGGCCATAGTCGGAAGACCATTTTGGGAATTAACTCTTTTAAACACTTTTTAAAAGTTTGAATCGGTAGACTTTTAAAGAGTCTTTAAAAGTCTAAATCGAATACCACCAAACTTTTAAAGTCTTTAAAAGTTTATAAAAGACTTGATTGAATACACACCCTTAGTTTTAAAGATATTTTGAAGCGAAAATGACAATTTTCTTCCCAAATTAGTCATGTATCCACATTAGCCTTCTCAATTATTCTAAAGTGACGATTTTTCTCCTGATAGGTTAAATGGACATCTTTATCCTTAAAATAAATATTTTATTTCTTTTTCTTCTCCAATAAATTATTACTTATATAGTTATATGTAGGGATGACGACGGTTTGGTTCAAATCGAACCAGACACTGTAGCAACCAAGTCGAAAGGGTCTGGTTACAGTTTAGAGCCGGAACCCAATCTTTGGATTTCAGTTTGTTAAAATCACGAACGGAAACTGCTGGTTATGGGTCTGAACGGAAAATATGCATTAATTGTTGAATTTTAAAAAATAGAATTAAAAAAAAAGTTCGAACCTTCGATTTAACAAAAAAATCAATATTGATTAGATCTCTTCTTACAAAATATATATCACTTTCTAAATTATTAAATATTTTATTAAGAAACTCTTTATTTCTAATTAAAAATCAATGTAATTTCATAAACATATTTAAAATAATAGATTTGGCACCAATGTGCAAAGAATGTGGTGTCATGTGCAACAAAGCATCCTCGTCATTTCTTTTAACACTGTTTTTTCTTTCTTATTTTTCCCCTTATAATTGTCAATAATTAATCAAATACAAAATCTGAGAGATATTATTTTCCATGCATATTAAGAATTGATTACATGTAAAATAATACCATATATATAACAAGGACAACAATGGTTTTGACTTTTAATGTTGTTTAGTTGCATTTTTATGTTTAATATGGTAGACAGATTCATTATTCTTTGTATTGGGGTTTTTTTTTTTTTTTTTTTTTTTAATCATGGTGATGATGAGAATACATATCAAATATGAAAATAATACGAGATCGGATACTCTAATTATAAATTTAATATTTAATTTAAGTAGAAACTCAAATTAATTTTGAAAGTTGTGAGTGAAATTAATAATAATAAAAAAAAAAAACTGAATGGCTATTTTAGCGGTTGAAGCTGATTAAAGAAGAAAAAAAAAAAAAAAAAACCAGAGCGTGTCCCTCAACCTTTGCGCATCTTTTGTGGCGCGTGGGCAACACGTGCCTGGGAAGACAAACTCCAAAAACAAATGAAATACTTATTTTTAAGGATAAAAATGTCCATTTAACAATAAAATTGAGAAATATTCACCACTTTTAACATAACTGAGAGGGATAAATGTGAATACATTAACAGAATGTTTGGTTGGAGGGATTTTAAATTCCCTTCCCACTTAATTTCCACCTAATTCCAAAGGCCATTAAATTCTGTAGTTTGGTTGGAGGGAATTACAATTCAATGGAATTGCAATTCCCCCATTTTCATGGAATTAAAATCCCATGTCCCCCCTGGTATTTTAATTCCTGAAAAAAAAAATAGTGATGAGTCAAAATTACTCCTTCCTTTTTTAACCTAAAATTGATGTCTAACAACAATAACGGACATTTTTGTCTTTATACTACTTATTCCCTTTCAATTCCCATGTATACCAAACATTGGAATTGAAATTCTCAATAATTCTATTCCTGTCAACCAAACACTGGAATTTAAATTCCCACTTTATTCCCAGTAATTCAACTCCCATGGAATTACAATTCCTTTCCCACATAATTCACCCTCTCCAACCAAACGCCCTGTAATAACTCATTAAAAAAATACTATAAACATATAAACAGCAAACCCATTGGTGCGGTTGTTATGGTATTATTTTGCGTGTAATCAATCCTTAATCTTCATGGCAAATAATATCTCTCAGATTCTGTATTTCATCAATTATTGACAATTAAAAGGAAAAACAGTGTTAAAGAGAAATAAAAAGGTGGTTGCTTTGTCCACCTGACCTCACATTTTTGCACTTTGCTGCCAAAATTATTTATTAATTGAGAGAATCAATATTCATAATCTAACACTCTGCATTTCTCTCCCTAACGCACCGACATTAATCATTATTTTTATTCTTATATATACCCTATAACACTTTATAGCATAAATGTAGTACTTTATAACAAAATTATTACTGACAATTTGTATGAAATAAAGTAATAACATAACAAAATTAAACATATAATCAATACTTTAAATCTTATAATAAATAGTACTTTATAACATACATGCAATACATAACATACTTACAATATTATTAATATTTTAAGTTTTTATATATAATATTTTATAGCATAAATATAATATTTTATAAAAAATTATAATAAACGGTTTGCAAAAACTAAAATATCATTATAATCTCAGGTATGGACATAAGAGGAATTAAAAATTTTGGCGATATAATTAAGAATCTATTTCGGCGAAGCCTAACATGTACAATTGCAGCCGCGACGCGTTATTCCGATTTGGCCCACTCTGCCCTGTTGCTTTCATTTATCAACCAGCCGAAATCAATACTTGTTTTCTCGGAATCGAAATCGAAACGAAATATTTAATAATTACAATATAAATTGTAATAAAGTAACTTGTCTATTTGATTATAAGTTATTATTAAAATTATTGTTTGAATATGCTTAAGCTTGAAATTAGGTTGGGTTTAAAAATAAGAAAAATGACTTTTGAAATATGTTTTATAGAAAATGACTTATTTTTTAGAAAATATTTTTTTTTCTAGTGTTTGGTTGAATTTCAGAAAACTGTCTTATGTGTTTGATTTGTTTTTCAGAAAATGAGCAGAATTGTATAATTACACATCGGTTTCATAAAAAAAAACCAGTGTTGTTTTAAAAAAATTAAAAATGAACAATGTTTTTCTTTTTTTTTTTTTAATTTTTTAAACAGAAGTCGGCTTCAAACTAGTTTTTTTTAATAAGTTTTTTTTGGTTTCCATTGGAGACCAGATTTAATCTGGTTTCCGTCAGAAACTAGTTTTTTCCTAGTTTTCGTTGGGAACCAGAGAACCAAAGACTGGTTCCTGAAGAAAACCATTGATGCGGGTTCGTTCGGAGATGGAGAATATTATGGTAGAAAAGGACTTTCCCTAAAAAACGGAAGTCATTTAAAAAAAAAATTGCTTGATTTTCCTTTGACCGAAAATTGATTTTCATTTATTTTAGTATTTTCCCTCTTTCTGGCACTTAAACCCAGAAAATGATTTTTAGAAATCATTTCCAACTTAAACTCAGAAAAAAATTTCTAGAAATCATTTCTAAATTTCGAAATACATTCTTAATTGAAATTAAACTTTAATAAACAAAGAGAAAAGAGAAACAAATCTTAGCATCAAATGTAAAAAAAAAAATGATATAATATGAATACATGTTGTAAAGATATCAAATCGACGAATTCATTATTTTATAAGAAATGAAATAGTGATAAATTAAAAAAGAAATTCTAAGACATTTAAATCTCATTCAAGACTCATAAAAATAGTTACACAAACGTGTCTATAGCATTCATTTCAATTCCTTACACTAAACCCATTAAATTATAAAATAAAATAAAATAAAAACCCTTTAATCTTATTATCGACCTCCCGTAGCTCTTTTCAAAAATAGAAAGAGCTAGCGAGAACAATTTGATCAGATATATCAATATAATTAGAAATACAAGAGAAAAAAGTATGAGTTAAATAAAAATGTCTTCCTATATTGACATGATGATATCAAAATAAAAAATACCGAAATTTAATATATATCTATATAGAAAATGAATAAGAACAAGTTTCTAAGAGAAAACTAAGAATAAATTTTCATATTTTCAAAAAAAAAAAAAAGAAAAAAAAAACAGAACAAATTTTCATTTTACATTTGAAAAATGAGTTAATTTCACAAGAGGTCCCTTGTTTTTTGTGACAATTCCAAATTTAATCCCAGACTATCGTTTTTGCCATTTAACATCCCTAGGCTATTATTTTTTAAACACTTTTAGTCATTCTCATGACTTTTTCTATTTTTAGTAAGGGCATTTTTATCTTTTCATATTTTTCTTTTGTTATTTTTCTGGTTTTAACCGGTTTAATTGGTTTAGGACTTTACTAAAAATTGGTTTAAAAATATTATTACTAAAAAATCAGAGGTTACCTAAAGTTATAAATCAATTAAACCAATTGAAACTGAAAAAATTATAAAAGAAAAATATGAAGAGACAAAAATGCCCTTACTAAAAATAGGAAAAGTGATGAGAAGGACTAAAAGTGTCCAAAAAATAATAATATAGGGATGTTAAATGGTAAAAACAATAGTTTGGGACTAAATTTGAAATTGCCAACAAAGACAAGGGACCTCTGATGGAATTAAGTCTTTGAAAAATTGTATAGTTACAATGATTTTTTTTTTTAAAGGCGGTGACATTTTTGTAATTATCGTGAATTTTACCATGCGACTTTTAACACTATATAGTGGTGCATTTATTAGGATCATCTAGAAATCTAGAAATGCACATTATATTGTCAAAAAAAAGAACTTTATAGTATTCAAAATTGCACTTTACACAATGCAAAAATGCAATCCACTTAGTGTTTTGATTTTAGAGTTTATAACTTAACGTTTTGGTTTAATGTTTGGTTCAAGGATTTACATTTTACTGTTCAGGGTTTAGTGTTTACGATTTAAGTTTAAAATTTAGTTTTTTTGTTGTTGATATTTTTAACCGTTATCTAGAAATACATTGTCTATTATTAAAAAGTGTCATGTATAGTATTAAAAATTGTACAGTAAAATTGACGATAATTACAAAAATGTCACCACAATTTTTTAAACCTTTGATCTAATCTATTCAATTTTTACAAATGTAAAACTAAGATAGGTTCTTAATTATCTCATGAAAATATGTTAACGCTTGAAACTAGACCCCTGAATGTATATGGTCCTATTTGACAACATAGTTAGCTTATCAGTCAATTTTTGACTTATTTGACTTGGTTAAACAATCAATATAAGTGTTTGATTAATTAACTTTTTATAATAATTTATTGCTCCAAAACGCTAAAATTCAAAAAACTGTTCAATGTAGTTTTTTCGATTAGTTTTTTTGAGAAATTCATTTTGCATGTAATCAGCTATCAACTAACAATCAATTTACCAAATATCTTTTTTCAATAAACTAATACTATATACTAGTCAAACTCACTAATCCAATCAGCTAACAACTATTTTCCAAACATATATGTACCTGCATACTAACTTTTCATAACAATCATAAAATATATATGCAAATGTATGGCGACTACGACACCGACTGAAGTGTTTGACGGCAAATGTATTGGTTCCCATATGAAAATATTGGCGCCAGCAATTTGAGTAATTGTGACAATACAGCCCCCACAGGCCACAGCATTTAGAGCAGAGCTTTTATGTTTTGAGATGACTTTGTTCCAACTACTTACTAGACTTTGCCCCCCATGCCCATCAATTCAATTCTCAATCCTTAGTCCGTAAAATGCGTCGAAATCTTAATCAACCTCAATAAATGCTTGTGTGGACCTCCATACTAGCTTCTGCTGTTCCAAAATGATGAATTTCGATTCAAAATTTATCTAAATTAATGTTGATTGAAGCTCATATAATTACATAATTTGATCCATGGTAGGAAAAATGACACTTTTTTTTTCTTAAATTATATTTTTATAATGTTTTTTCTTCTTGAATTATTTATGTATTTACATTAGTCTCCTCAATTATTTTAAAAGTGACAATTTTTTCTCATTTTTCGTCTAAAAGTGGACATTTTTACGCTTAAAATAAGTATTTCATTTGTTTTTCTTTTCATATATCATGTAATGTGATTCCTGACTTGAACTTTCCTATGTCAAAGATTACATCAAACGTGAGAATAATTTTTCACATTTTCAATTCTTAGGAAAGTTCAAACTTTCCTTACTACCAAAGGCCTTCTAAAAGTATTACATTTTTCCATATAAGTAATAAACACCTTTATTCCTTATTAGTATTATATTTTATAGAATAAGTAGTGGCGGACCCACAATGGGGCCAATAGGGCCGGGGCAGCTGCCCGCCTGCCCCCCTCCCCCCACACCACCTCCTTATATATATGTATGTAGAATACGGATCAAATGTGCTCAGGTGCGGACGTGGGGTGAGATGAGAGTCATTGATCTTGCCAAGATCAACATCCAGGATTAACAAGGATTAAAAAAAAAACGTGGTGACAATTTGGTGTTTTTGCATCTAGGTCAAATTTAAGGTGCATGATTTTCCTTATTAAGGTGCGTTGATCTAAAGCTTTAGGTGCGTGGTATGTGTGCTTAAGGTGCGTCAGTTGTTGAAACTTAAGGTGCGTCGGTCTAAAACTTTAGGTGCCTTGTTCTCCTTCTTAAGGTGAGTTGTTTTCCTTCTTAAGGTGCGTCGGTTTAAAGCTTTAGGTGGGTGGTGTTCCTTCTTAAAGTGCGTTATTTTCCTTCTTAAGGTTCTTTGTTTTCCTTCTTAAGGTGCGTTGTTTTTCCTTGGTATGTTATTTTTTACAGTTTGCTTCTTTAAGTTTAGGACAGGCCTTTAAAAAAAAAAAGAGTAAATACCCAAAATGGTCCCTCGACTATAGCTAAATTCACAAATTGGTCCTCGACTTTCAATTTCAACCAATTAAGTCCTTAACTTTGCAATTTTAACACAATTTGGTCCTCTGTCTATTTGACCGTTTGTTGACTGCGATTTTTTATGATATATATGTAATTTCATGGTCCATCGTCGGTTTATTAAGGTTCTGGTTGCATTTCCAGACCGCACTGTTACATTTGAATTCACTGCCGAAAGCAATCTACCAAATCCGGTCGCCTTTCTTCTCATCCCTTTGGATTCAATATAGTTGAGTTCGTACCAGAGCGAAGAACACGACGTGTTTCCGAACCTGTGCAACGTCATCTTGGAGGCCTCCATGTACTCCGACAAACGGTCAAATAGATGGAGGACCAAATCGTGTCAAAATTGCAAAGTTAAGGACTTAATTGGTTGAAATTGAAAGTCGAGGATCAATTTGTGAATTTAGCTATAGTCGATGGACCATTTTGGATATTTACTCAAAAAAAATAATAAATTTCATTGATTTGAGCCATTGATCTAGATTTGATCAACGACTCAGATTAAACCCTATTTTCACACCTGAGTTAATTTTCACACCAGAACTCATCCCTATATATATATATATATATATATATATATATATATATATATATATATATATATATATATATATATATATATATATATATAGAAGAGCGCTCATATGCGGCGGGGTCTTACGGTGCGGCGGTGCGGTCAAATTCCAGAATACACCAACAGTGTTAACAATATGCACCAACAGTGTAATAAAAACATACCCCAATGAAATTTAATAAAACATCACAAAATACACCACAGACTCAAAAAAACACACCATATAACTCACCACCCCCAATGGTGTATTTCCGAACAGTGTATGGTGTTTTTACTCACACCTAATGGTGTCTGTTTGGTGATGCAGGGCTCTGTTTACTCTGTTTTGTGTGGTGTATTTCCTAACGTTGATGGTGCATATTTGGTGAACTATTGGTGTTGCCGCACCGTAAGAAATAACCGCACCGTAAGACACTGCCGCACCTGAACCCGCCTATATATATATATATATATATATATATATATATATATATATATAGCATTAACTTATATATAAAATCTATATTTATGTATAACTTACTAAGTGTTTGAGTAGTTTAGTTGGCTGAACTCTATATTAAATTTAATGTTGAATAGCCTATGTCATTGATCCGCCTATAATATTATATTTTTATTTTGATCTGGCTCGTTTCACGAATAAAACTCAGTGAGACAATCTTATATAAATTTGTGTCAATATTTATAGGCGTGGACCGACTGTTGACATGACCATATATAAGTTAAAGAAACAAACTTTTTCAAAACTGGCCTCCACTACGATATAATCAGCCTGGGCCATGAGCAGACCTCTCCGAACACGGCTTTCTTGGCCACATGAAATTCCCAATCACCGCCTACTACAATATTCATTTTAAACTGCTGATTGGGATTTGCAAATTGCAATTGTACGTGTGGAAGATACAGCTAGCTTGCAACAACTAAGCAAACAGGTTTAAGAATGTGTATGCTCCAAAGTTAATTATTGAAATACTTCCTAGACTATAGTGAAATTATCAATTTAATTAAATTTTAATTTTTTTTTGGTTTAATTAAATTTTTAATTTTGAAAATTTTAATCAATTTAGTCATTTGGTTGTTTAGCTGTCAGACCCTTGTTTAACTTGAGGGTATTGATGAAATTTCACGTTACTTCCTGGACTGCTCGGGATGAAATTGATAATTTTTCTATAATTAATGAACTATTTTGATAATTAACTCTTCGGTTTATTAAGAGAGAAAATGATGCATGTGATGTGAAATTTTAACAATCCTCTCGAATTGAACAGATTTTTGACGTTGATTGAACGGAAGACCAAATAAATTAAAATTTTCAAAGTTGATTGAGAACTTAATTAAGAAAAAAATAATAATCCAGAACCAAATTGATAATTTGGATAATTAACTCCCAATATAAATACCCAGACTTTCGACCCACATTCTCCTCATTCATCCCAACCAAAAAACAAAAAAAAAAAACATGAGAATGGGACTTTTCAAGAATAGCCCAAACTTTTTCTCTCAATTCTTCTTGATCCTTTCCATGGTGGTTATCATCACTAAGGTGTCAGCAAGAGGTCCAATATATACCCCTCCTAGTGTTGATAGACTAACAGATCGTTTCACCCAAACTGGGGTTAGTGAAGGTTACAATGTGCTCTATGGGGGTCACAATATTCAACTAAAAAACAATGGGTCCAGTGCTGATCTTGTCTTGGACAAATCTTCAGGTACTAAGCTTAGCTTTCATCATATATGTTTAAGGATGACTATCATCATCGTCTTTTGTTTGACAGTATATATGTAGTGAAGTTTCATTATGTTCTGAAACTTAGTTGTTGTTTTAGGATGTGGGTTGGTTTCAAAAGACAGATATTACTATGGCTTCTTCAATGCTGCTATCAAGCTCCCTGCTGGTTTTACCTCTGGAGTTGTGGTGGCCTTTTATGTAAGTATAGTTTTCATATATACAACAACGTACTATACGTGCATTAATTAATGGGAAAAAGTGACATATATATATATTTTTTTTCTGAATTATTACAACAACAGATGTCTAATCAAGATGTTTACCCACACAACCATGATGAAATTGATATTGAATTGCTTGGGTATGATAAGAGGAGAGATTGGGTGTTGCAGACCAATCTTTATTGCAATGGAAGTGTGAAAACAGGGAGGGAAGAAAAGTTCTATCTTTGGTTCGACCCAACTCAAGCTTCCCATGACTATTCCATACTTTGGAACTCTCATCACATCTTGTAAGCTCATCAAAACTTCTCCAACCATCTTAAACTTTGTTTGATAAAACTTATTTTAAACTAAAAATCATAAACTTTGTTTCATAAAACATGAAGTATTTAAAAAAAGGAATAATATCTTATTTTGAAACGCTACTCAAAGTAACTTTTTAAAATAAGCTAATAGCTATTAGTAATCATTCTAATTTTAAATTAACTTAAAAGTTAAGTATATCATACCAAACAGAGTCTTAGTACGTAATTTAGCCTAACCGTTTAACTTATAGGCCTGGTCAAACTTACACCACTTAACTAAGGCCTTAATAAATATATAATATATATTTTATACATAAAAATCTTACACAAAAAATAATATATTCAATTGTACTTAGAAATATCAGAACCTTGCCTTCCCTTCAAATATTATAGTAATTGTTAGAATCAAGCACTTACCATTACACCAAAAGTTATAACTAGGCCAGTAGCGTGTATCTTGACTCTAATATCACTTGTTAGGATCAAATACTTATCATTATGTCAAAAGTTATAACTAGTAGTTAATGCGTAACTTTAATTAATTTTTTTTTTATACCGTCACATCTTTTAGAAGAAGAGTACTGAACTTGACCCTTTAGATCTCCACCCAATAATCTCCTAGTTATTCGTTGGATTTGACCTTTCACCGATTCCGTCCAACCGTAATAATATTGGAATTATGACATTACTGCAGGTTCTTAGTGGACAACATACCAGTAAGAGAAGTGGTGAACAATGCTGCAATTTCAACAGTGTACCCATCAAAGCCAATGTCAGTATATGTGACAATATGGGATGGGTCAGAATGGGCTACACATGGTGGGAAGTACCCAGTGAATTACAACTATGCCCCCTTTGTGGCATCCATGGGAAGGGTAGAATTGGAAGGGTGCACCAACAGCAGCTCAGATTGTACAAGAAGAAGCCCTTCAACTTCAAGTTTGGAGGGAGAAGGGTTTGTGAAGCTAACTCAGCAGCAGATTTCAGGGTTGCAGTGGGCACGTGGGAAGCACATGTTCTATTCTTATTGCAAAGATAAAGCTAGATATAAAGTCTTGCCACTAGAGTGCACAGCTAAATAATATACATATGTTCCACTTCTGTTTTTTAATTATTATTTATTTTTATTGGAGCTAGGATGAATCATTTTGCTAGGGAAAATAAACTAACAAAGAAAGGGATGGGGATGGAGTTTCATAAATTTTCTTTATTTTTATAATTACATTTAACTATATTATTTACTTTTATTTTCTTAGCTTGATTATATAATAAAATTTTATTTTTAAAAATATTACTCCCAACCCTTTGTCTCATTTTACCATCTTATTTACTATTTAATTTACTGGCCAAACCAACACTTCTTTAATTTCTTTGTTTATTTTTTCTTTAACATTTTCTATAATTTTTAAATTTAATTTTTATTTTTAATAATACTTTTGATGTAATTTCTAAAAATATATAAAAAATTTATGTACAAAGACTAAACTAAATATTACAACAACAACAACAACAAAATAAATGAATAGTTATAAATAACTTGAATTAAGTCTTGTTAACCGAATTCAATATATAAAATGAGATAAATGGAGTACTTGTAATCTCACGAGTAGTGTGTCAATACTTTGTCTACATTTTTTTAGTACCATTGATTCTATTACAATTTAATGTATGTTCATACATGTTTTCTCAACCTACTGAAGTACAAATAGTCAATGCTAATACTTTGTCTATATTGATTGAAAAGAAAAGAAGAAACAAAATAAATAAATAAATAAAAGAAAAAACGAAATAACCACCCTTTAAAATAAATAATGGTGCATATCAAGATGTAAAAAAGATAATAATAAAATAAAATAAACATACTTTTTACTTTTGGAATGAGTGGACAAATTATTTTTGAAACATACATCATTATTGTGTCCTGTTTTAGGGTAGTTGGTGGACTAGTAGACTACTTCAACTCAAATAAATATTATTGCAAAATTTACCATATGATTAAGTGATTAAAAGTGAAATTAAATCTAAGCATAATGTATGTGAGGTACTCATAGAAATAATTAAGGTGATTTCATTTAAATAATTTATGAAAATAAAGATTTAAAACAGCGAAAAAATATTTGACAATATAAAATTAAAAAAGAATTTAAAATTTCAATTGATATCAATGTCTTTTACACTACATTCAACTCAAATATAGAAACAAACTTAAAGCTGCCCCGCAATACCCAAAAAATTTTAGGTTGGTATATATCTTGACAATATATAGTATAAATTTAAAGTCTTTCCCATTCATGTTTGGGTTGCAACAACTCCAATAAATTTGTAAACAAATAGTATTTTCTTAAAACTAATTATTCATGAGTAAATAAAATTTGTAAACAAATTCATCGAAGGAACATACATTTGGTACACCTAAAATAATATCAATGTAAGAAAGAAATAATAAATCACACCATGTAGACTTCATTATTAAATTGTTGTACCTAAAAAGATGTCAATAGACCAAATTGGCAAGCTACTAAACGAGAAATTAATCAGATTATCTAAAAACATAATAAGTTTACAATTCAGGTTATATTCTTAGTTTATGTCCGTTCTTTTTGTTAAATTTTTTGTACATTATGCTATAAAAATTGTACTACATAATTTTTTGGACAAAAATATCTCTACTATTATAACTTCTATTATCTTTTCACATTATTATTACCATGCACATGCATGCACAATATTTTATTTCTTATCATAATTATTATATTTAGTAATTTATCATTTCTAAAATTCTTTCTTTAATAATATTAATATGAATTCTACAACTATAAATAAATATATTCACACACACAATTATTTTTTTAAAAAAAGTATTTTAAAATAACTAAGATTTTAATATTAAGTATTAATATTAGACATATATTTTTACGCATCACGCATATAAAATACTAGTATATATAGCCTATATACTATTAGTTTTTATACTGAAGGAGTGATTTAACAACTTTTTGAGTGATTATTGCAAAGGGTGGAAGTTTAGTGATAATGGAAAGAGATGATTGTTTTAGAGGGAGTAATAATTTTTTTTTAAGGTAAACCAACATGGTAGATTACTGTAATAAGACTGAAACAAAGTCAGGAGGGATAGAGTTCTAGTATAGAGAGCCAGTCTGAGAAAAGGCTACAGAAGCACGAGAATGAGCAACGACATTAACCGTTCTAGGAACTAACTTAATTAAGCACTGAGTAAAGGAAGACATAGCACCCCTACAGTCATTAATAACTAGCCCAGCATAGGACAAGAGAAGAACGTGAGTAGGTGATAAAAAAACGCTGAAGGTTGGAGAAGTCCATATAGAGCTCACTGACAAGACCCCCCGATCGCTAAGCGAAGACAAAGCCTCCTTGCAAGCTAACGCCTCCACCATAAGCGGTGAGAAACAGTCCGGGAGTAGGCCATTGAATGCGGCAATGAAGGAGCCATCCTGAGAGAGAAGAGAACGCCCACGGTAGCCTTCATCGTCGTCAGATGGTAACCAGCGTCTACGTAGCATCTGGGAAGCAGGTTGTGACAACCCAAAATTTAATTTTATAAATCCAATTTTAAGAAATTCCAAAATAGCCATTTTCAGTCCATTAATTTTTTTTTAGATAAATTGGTGTTTGAATAAATTATTTTGAGTTACATTTTAAATTAATTCAACGCCGAAACTTATTTTAATTCCAATATCCTAAATTTTCGGGTACTTCGTGTATCCTAACTTACATACTTATGTATACCGTTTCGAAAATGGCTTTACAACTTATATCTTATCTATGCATGTTATTTCACATGTATTGGTGGGTTACCAGCATTATTCGCTGATCGGGCGTCGTCCCATGTTTTACTGTGTTCTTTCAGGTGATGTCTAGGCGAGTGCGCAGTCTAGTACTTGCTAGCGTAGCTTCTCCCGCTTGTTTTATGGCCTGTGTGCCGGCTTAGTTGTAGACTTTTGAGACTATGGATTAGTTGTAAACAATGCAGATATTGCCGTAGCGTTCATCCTTTTTGGTGAACGTGGCATAACACCCCGTTGTTTGGATTTATGTTTATCTAGTTATCTTTCAGTCTTCCGTTGTGTTTGTTGTTTAGCTCAGTTATCTGCATGTTTAAGGCTTTTATTAGCTTGTTTTTAGGGGGTGTTACACATATAATAAACAGATAAGGTGACAACGGATCACCCTGCTTTAGACCACGGGCAGGAGTTACTTGACCATACTAACCCCATTAATCAAACACAGTGGTAACACAATTCATAACCAACCTCACACATACTTCTACAAAACCCAGCGCCAGTAACATCCTGCGTAGGAAGGACCACTTCATACGATCATACGCCTAAGTCATATCCAACTTGAGTGTCCCCCAGCCAACTACACCACTCTGCTTCCTATTCAGATATTGACCAACCTCAGCAACTACAAGGATATTATCAGTGATAAGCCTATCAGGGATAAAAAACACTCTGGGACTCAGAGATTAGATCCCCCCATAAGCGGTTTTATCTTGTTAACTATCATCTTGGCCATGATTTTGTAGACAACGTTACACAAGGCAATAGGTTTGAGATTAGTTACTAATTCATCATTAAGCCCTTCCAGGAAAGAACAGGAATTAAGACAATTTACAACAAAAGACGATACATCTTCCCCCACCACATCCCAAAAGTGTTGATAAAACCCCGAGTTCATTCTATCAGGCCTAGGGGCTTTATCAGGAAACATGGAGAAAAGAGCAGATTTGACTTCATCAGACACAAAAGGACGGAGAAAGGGCATCATTGAGACTCTGGTAGATATGAGGAACAATAATACTAAAGAAAGTATCCTCAAAGATGGAACTACTAGAGCATAAAATCTATCAAAATAATTCAAGATAACAGACTTCAAAGCATCACCCTCCACCCAGTTACCAGAATCATTTTTAAGTCTAGAGAGTGTATTTTTCTTATTACGAGCAGAAGCATACCTATGGAAGAACTTTGTGTTTGCATCTGTGCCCTTCAACCAATGTTGCTTGACTCTCTGCCTCCAAAATGCATCCTCTTGGGCTTCCAGACGGCACAACTACGTCTCAATGCGTTGGAACTCAAGTAAGGAAGCCGAATTCGTAAGCCCTTTCAGATACAATTGTTCTTTCTGGGGATTCTTGATCTGCTCACCAAACTTGTGGAAGTGGTCCCCTCCCCAACGAGTTAACTGATCCCCGTAGAGCTGAAGGCGGTCTAACAGGCCACCGTGTTTCCCATCTGTCCTCACCTCCTGAACAACCCCCCTACACCCCCCATCCGGCAACCAAGCTATCTCAAACTGGAATCCTCCTTTTTCCTCCCCCTTGCAACCCGTGTATCAGCAACCCCTAGATAGAGGGTCAAATGATCTGAGCTACGAGTCAATATATTTTCCACCCTCGGTCTCACACTACTACTACACCAGCACTTTCTAGCCAGCATTTTGTCTAATCTTTCCCCCATATATTTAGTCCGATATCCCCCTACCCCTCTCCCAAGTGAACGGATATCCAAACATAGGCAATTGAGACAAACCACAATCATCAATACCATCCCCAAAATCGTGAAGGAGACTATCAGGATGGGGGTTCCCTCCAAGCTGTAAAAAAAGAGATCATTAAAATCACCAAGCACAACCCATGGGAGCTTAGACCTACCAGCAAGGGACCTGAGTAAGTCACATGCTTCCCTCCTTCTATTGCGTTCCAAAAAGCCATAAAAAACAGTCATACGCTAACTTGAGAACCCTACTATACTAAGTTCTACATCAACATGATTTTTTGAGAAACTCAATAGCCTGGCAGTGTTATTTTTCCTCCACAACAAGGCTAAACCCCGACTAAACCAGTACTATCAACATAAAATAATCATTCGAAGCCAAGCTTGACGTGGAGACGTTTTGCATGTATCCGCACCACCTTGGTTTCCATAAGAAAAACAAACTCAGGCTTCTTACGAAACACTAGGTCTACCACTTTACGAACTATGCATAGATTGCCCAAGCTACGACAGTTCCAACTTAACGTACACATGAGGACGGGTGTGTCTGGGAACCAGAACCCACCGAGAACAAGTTTTTTGGAGCCTCAATCATTGCAACATCACCAGTGCCTACCCCATGCCTCCTCCAGGCACCAGAAGACACCTCTAGACGGCGCTTTACAGCAGCTACCACACTGCCCTCTCCCTCATGCCCACTGTTCGAAGCTACTCCATCCCTTCTATTCTGCCGCGAACCTCCAGAACCAACTGCCTCCTCCACAGTACGTGACTATCCTCCCGCTGGCACTAGCCAACTTTACCCCACTGCCCTTGGATCACGGCTGGTACCAGCTTGGAGCTCCACCCCGTATGGGTACTGCTCCACTAGAACCGTCAAGTCTCTAGCCTTAAAACAGAATTTGTGAGAATGTCCGATCAGGCCACAAAACAGAAATTGTGAAGCCTTTAGTACCTGAAGAACACCCAACAGAACGTCTTATCGCATTTAATGAGCTTCATGCGACGCTCGATGGGTTTGTCCACGGAAATAGAGACTCGAATGCGGTAGAAAGATCGCAAAGGAGCATCAGTAAACCTATCGTCTCACATAATGAAGGTCACAAGAAAATTATCAGCCTGCTCTAGAATCAAACCAGACGTATAGCCCAAAGGGAGGTCATGGAGTTGTACCCACATATCCACCGAATCCAGAGTAACATCATCGGGCAAAACACCATCTCCAAACCCGCCTACATACCAGCGTACTGTTCTCGAATGACCATGGGCCCTCCCCCACCACCCGTTGCATGTCCGTTTTATGATAAAAGACAAATAAGAACAAGTTTGGCTGAACCTCCGTAATCTGAACACATTTCACCGGGCGCCAAACGGACACCATCACATGCCGAATGTACTCCACCTTCACAAGCTTGTCGGTCAAGAAACGGCCTACCA